AACAAGAAATTCAGGGACTTTAAAAAGATATCACTTGGCCGGTTGAACCTCTTCCTCCTTGGAAAAATGCCATCGGGTGCAAATGAGTGTTTAAAATCAAGTATCATTCTGATGTTGGGTTCAACATTACAAGGCTAGAATGGTGATTGGGAAATGATCAGATTAAGGGTCTTGATTTTAATGAGAGATTTGATCCAGTTACAAAAATGATGATTGTTCGTACTTTGCTCACTATGGCAGCTGCTAATGGAAACTTTATCAGATAGATGTTCATAAGCAATATCATTTGCATGGTGATTTGGATGAAGAAATGTATATAAAGTTACCACCTAGTTTCTCGAACCCTAACTTTAGCTAAAGTTTTGGATACCATGAGTTCAAACCGTACTAGGTCTCAAACACTCAGGTTACATGCACATACGAATGCAAAAGGGTCCAAACAAAAGTCGAATCCAAAAAGGACAAGAATTGTAACACAAATATTACTCTTTCCGAAATCATTTCAAGATTTTGGAAACAAGATATACGAGTTATTTTTGAATTTCTATTTTTCAAAAAGGACCAAAACTCATAGAAAATTCATAAATCTCTCTATTTCCAAGTTTTATACGGAATCTTAAAATTTTACCTCGTCTATAACACATACGAAGGTAAATTTTTTGTCAAATCATATATTCATAGCAATCTAATGAGATTTTTTTCTTTTCATTTACTAAATACACAAATGTAGTTATCAGAACATCATAATTGTAGTGATTTTGATATGTTTCTTTCCTCATTCAATTACGAACGACTTTATAATCACTTATTTTACACTAAATATTTCACATAACTTGATGCCTCATACTAGGACATGCTTTCACATAAAATTCTCAAAACATTTTACTTTTCAAAGAATCAAAATTGTGTTAACATTAAGATTTGATCTCAAAACTTTACGAAATTTCCATGACATACACAAAACATGTAGAAACCCCTAGTTTCCGAATTGACTTTCGAAGACAAGGCAACCACGTGTTCTCACATATTAGTAATGACTAAACCAAGATTCCCAAAGATCTAATCAAGACTGATTAAATGTGGTCATTTCAAAAGTTGCAAACCCTAGTTTACATAGCTTCAAAGATCAATATTCACAAACTCAAAATACTTATTTCAAAGTTCGCACAGTCAACTTTAAAATCTTTCGAGACATCTTAAAATCATTATAGCTTACCAAAAAGACGACATGATTTATTATAACTTAACACAAATGTTTCTCAAAGTCAATGGACAAAAAGAAGAGGAGTTAAGTTTTGAAAAAGTTTGAAAGTAAACAAGACTCGTTACTTTGAAAGTAAGAAGTTTGAAAAAGTTTGGTTAATTGGAAACTTTCAAATTCATTCTACCAAAATAAATAGCAAAACATAAGAAATGTGCATTTATAACTCTTGAAACTATTTTGATTCAATACAAAAAAAAGAGAGCGTGAAATCATATAAAAACTATGTATATTTGATTATTACCAGATGGTACCTAATTTTCTTCATTGGTCAAAGAAAAAATGCATAGCAATGCTAAAGACTTATCTGAATGGATAACATTCAAAGAAAAACCATATACAGAAAAGATAACCCCTTAAAAAATTGCACAACTTTTTTTCTAATATTTGTTGTATCATAGAAAATAGAAAGTAATTAATGAAAGAGTAAATTAGTGAATAAATAGTTTTTGAGTGCTAAATCTAGCTATAAGAAGCTTCGTAGAGGCTAAATTATGTGGCCAAATGGGATTGGTAGTTACTGGAGTGGACTGTTGAATGATAGTATGAAATCCGTGAATATATACAAATGATAAATGATGAATGAGTTCATCATCCACAAGAATTATTGGCGTCAGCGGCATCTTCATCCTCTGGAAATGCAGGCAAATTGATCTCCTGTGTTTTCTTCTAGAGGATAATGGCTGCATCGGCGGCTAAATCGGCAACTAGATGGGCCCTCGTGTGCCCCCTAAGGCTTGATCAGATAGGAAAGGTCTCAAACAAATGTGACAAACATGGCTGGTGATGCCGCCTTTGGTTTTCTCATGGGCAATAGAACCCATGCCAACCTCCTGAAAAACAAGTTAAACCTCAAATAAGTTAAAGATCTCTGATCGAGGAGAGAAAATCTTTGATCAAGGATCATAAGACCTTAGTGTTTGATGTATATATTTTTAGTAGTCCCGCAAAGCATACATTGCTAGACATATGTAACACCATTACATTGCATATAAATGTGTGTAATAGAATATCCAATAGTTTTCACTAACATATGAATACCTTCCATATCAAACATGTCATTCCAATGAACCTCGTTTCCTTTTTGTAATAAGATTGTTATGGCTTCATTATATTTCTGTACAAGAACATTAGATAAATTAATAGATATTAAAATAAAGTATGTTTCCTGAAAAATAAATGAGATTGATGTGAAACTCAAAAAGTATTTCACATTTTGTTATAATAAGCAATTAAATATTATGAATCTCATGCAAGTTAACATTATAAGGTAATAAAAAGTTGTGTAACGATGATGTTGTAGATTAATTTTTTACAAAAAGTGGTAATTAATTAAAAGTTTGAATAAAGATATTTACATTGTTTTTAGAGGGATGGAAAAATGTTTAATTTGATTTTTGTTGTTGAGTTTTCTACCAAATAAATGGAGTTGTAATTGTTAAATCAACTATTGACTTTTGAACCGTAAGCAATACATGGTTTCTAATCAATGTTTTCTCCAAAGTTGTGTAATGATTTCTCCGATAGCCTTTTTTCACGTTTCCATCCTTAAATTTTACATCAGTATCAGTAAGTTTTTGGAGGTTTAATTTGTTTGATCCTAAAAATTAATTTCTTAGGTGTATTTTCCTGAAGTCATTGATGCATGGATTTCTTCCAAATCCAATAGCATGTAGTCATAAACTTTTTAACATTTACGGTGCAAAAAAATAGGGAGCCAGTTTGATATCAAATCCGACTTCAAGGCCAAAGAACTAATGGGCTTCAAGATCAGTGAAGTCTTCATGGAGATTAGATGGGTAGTCATATTAGTGTTTTTCCTTGAGTTCTCGGGTCCAAATGGGAAAAAAGCATATGTCATCCATGCCTAAATCCGATTCCAATACCAACGTTGAGAAATTTTCCAATGTTGAACATGGACTTGCCATTTTCACACTCTTGTGCTATCCCATCGAGCATACTAATTGGTCATAAAAGGTCATGAAAAAGTTCTTGTATTCAAATTTTGCCAATAATTTGGTATTAACAAGCCATGTGTTTCAACGGATTTGGAATAGGGATTCAGGTTCGAAATCTGATAGTTAGTTTAACAGGCATTAGATTCAAGTTTTTGGATTGGAATATGAAACTCCCGCCTCCTCCCTGGTTTTCGACTGAATCCCCACCTGATTCTTTTTAGCTTTATTTTTTATGTTTTTTTTTTCTCTCCTTTATCTTTCTACTTTATTTTCACAATTTTCTCTTTCTTCTGTGTGCTCTCTCTCTCACACGCACACATTCTTTGTATCTTTCTCATTTTCTTCTGATCTTTGAAGCAGATCCATGACTTGCACCTTATAAAACATTTCTGGAACTAGCAGAATGATGAGAAACAACGAAAGTTCTTATCAATTTTAATAATCTTTTCTTCATCGGTTGGAGGGTGCAACTTCACTTGGGCCAACAACAACTCATGGGTCCGAAAATATTCCTTTATGGCTAATTAGGCCGGCTAAAGTCCTAACAATGGCCCAAACCCATCATTGAAAAGGAATATTTCAGGGAATATTCTCCCTTACCTTATCTATATATATCCTATTTTTTGTGGTGAAGAGGAAGCTCTTTCTCCTACTCACTTCTTGGCTCACATTTAATACATTCACTCTTGACATTGACTTACTCGTCGGAGTGCTAACTCTTGTTTTACATGTCTCAGGTCCATAGACACCGTTGACTCTCGTCCTAACGGATTTGGCCTTCAACAAGTGGTGCCGACTGTGGGGACCACTTTGTGTTCCTGATTGAAGGTGAATCTTGAGTTCTGGATGTCTATGGATCTGACCAAAAAGGGTTTTGAACTTTGAAATGGGTTGTGAATCTCACGTACCCTCTATGATTTTGGAGAGTTTGAGCTACGGGATTCTCCAGCAAGCTTTAGAAGACCAATTCCTACCTTGGAAGCTAAGCTCCAGCTCGATCTGGTCATGGGATATGACCTCCTCATTTGATTTCGAGATTTGGATTTAGTCACAGGTTGGTCTCTTCTTTTGATTTCAAACTTGGGTTTAAAAAATAAGTCGGAGTCACGATGGGTGGTTTTGAAATCCAACCCAAAGGCTTCAGCTCCAAGACAAAATGAATGCTCTAAAAGGATGGTTTCACACATACGTGCACGACATCAGCTTAGTCTTATTTCAGTTTCTTCACAATCGGGGGAAGTCGCCGCCGTCGGATCATTCCTCATTCCGAAGCCATTGTCAGATCATGTACTCTCCTGAAGCCGGCATCCATCAGGGGTCGTCTTCGACCATGGTCATCTTCAACCAATCTCATCGACTCAATAATCGAAGCTTGATTTCTATCAAAGACGGAGTCATCATCAGCAGCAACACTGGCCGCCAAAATGGTAGCCTCGGCAACAAGCCACGTCCGGCTTTCATCTCCGATGCGGGACAGAAGCCTCTCCAAAGTGAATCTCGGCTTCGACCTTCGACCTTTGTCGGCGTGAGGGGAAGTAGCAAGCAAAACAGAGGCTGAAGCTTCATCCCCAAAACCCTAGCAACCGTCTTTGGCAACCACCGACCCTGAATCAAGAATAAATCTTAAGCTTTGTCTTCAACCGTCCACCATCAACCAAGGTTGGACCTTGTTCATCGACTAAATGTTAATCATAGTCCCGAAGCCGACCTTCAATGCTAGCCGCATGGAACTGAAAGCTTCCTCGACCAAAAGCTGCCGACGGGGCAAGAAAGTCCTGTAGTCGTCATCAGTGGCAGCGATTTCGTCATCGGCGGCCACCTTCGGTTCGTCAATCATCATTCTTAATGAAAAAGCAACGGCGAAAACACCACCAGTGGCAGCCGGCTTCAAGCAGGAAGAAAGAAAACCTCAGGTTAAAGCTCACAGGGGCTTCACCTTCAACATCGGTGGCAATCTACGGCAACATTCCAACAACGACAAAAGTTTAGTGCCGGAAGCAATCGTTGTCGGTTGAAACCATCTTCGGTTGTCAATAACAGATCTTTCACCGTCGTCCACAAACCGAAGCCACCTTCGGAATCAAGGACCTTCGTCGACCTTCAAGGCTTCAACCACATCCGTGGTTATCGTCGGCCCTTGGTCGCGCCCAAACCTCCATCTTGAAGAAGACGCAGGCGGAAAAGCCGACCATGCATCAAGCTTCAACCAAGGAGAAAACTTTAGGCGGGAGGGGGACTAAAATTTGCAGAGAATTAAAAAAATTTGCAATCAGGTCCCTATAATTTCTCCAAATATTGTTTGGACCCCAAAAGTTTTAAAAATTTCTAAATTGACCCTAAAGTTTAAAAATGTTGCAATCAGACCCCTGATGAAGATTTTAGGGTTAATGTGAGAGCTTTACAAGCCAATTTCAAGGACATAAAGCATCTTTGGGAGCTCTCCAACACCATTGCTAGGCTATAGCCCTACGCAACTACAAAGATAAGTGTTCTTAATGTATCACCATTTGATGGTCTATTTTCTTAAATAATTTTATTTGGGAGGAGGAGTTGGGTATGTGGTTATACATATTTCCTCCTTGCTACTTGGTTGTAAATTCAATCAATGCTTAAATCGACATAGCCAATACAAATACTCCATAATGGCATGACATATAAAGAGTAGAGCTATCATAGTTCACGTGCTCTTTGTGCTTTTGAATGTGGTTCATACTTGATTATGTGCTATGTACCCCCCTTACCATCGGAAATATGAGGAAAAGGAAATAAAACTATTTAAGAAAATATATACTTGTTCTTGGGTAATATATCTGTGCTTGGTGGTTTGAGAAGGTGGGTTGTTTTTTGAAAATTCGTCATGGAACGATCTACCTTTCACTTTGAAAAACTATTTTGAAATAGATGTAATTCCCTTCGCAAAGTTTTGTGTTATTGAATGGGTGACTGATAACGGTCAAATTGTTACATAAAAGCATTGCAATTTTGCTCTTTAATTAGTAAGAAATTAGGGGTGTTTCTTAGACTTTGTTCATTTTACTTAGCTAGTTTTGTGTTTCTAAATAGGTGAGGACCGGAGTGAACAAATGCTGAAAACGGGGGCTTATGGAGCAATAATTGGGCTGCTGATTCCAATTTAAAATGAGGGCTGAGTTGGTCAAAAAGCAACTCCAAGACACAAGACACATTAGGAGTTAATAAGGGTGTCCCACAATAGAAACTAAAGAGCATGCTTGTCCCCTTGAATGAAGAACCAACCACCCACATTGATCAATGTTGTTGCTGATACCACTACTGGAAGAAGAGGAAAAGACCAGTCAAAACCGGATTCAAGACACAAGGCATTGGGGCTAATAAATAATTCACAAGCATGGGAAGGCTATCTTGGAAGAAGAACCGGCTTCAAAACTCTATAAAAGGAGCTGCATTCCCATCATGAAGAGGGATCTGAGTGGAAATACAACACACAAAACACAACAGAGAGAGAAGAAAAGAGCAGAGAGGGGAGAAAACTCTAAAGGAAGAAGAAGTCCAGTAGCAGAAAAAGAGGAGTAACAGACCTCACTCGCCTGAGTGACCTTTGTCACTCAGGCGAGTGACCTGTTGCTCAGCCATCCAGATTTGCTTCTTCTCAATGCTTTCCTTCTTTTCTTGTATTTTCTGTAGTTTGTATGTGTAGTTAATTAGATTTCATTCTCTGGAACCTATGTAGTTTAAGTTTGTGATTGCATTCGGATGATTTTGTGTTTTGAAGTTAAAGCTTTCATCTACCTCTTGATTAAATTGGCCATTTGATTGATTGTGCATAGAACTAAGTGAATCCCGGAAGGGTAAACAAGGTTCAGAATCGTTTAGCTTTAACTTTTGACTTGGAGGTAACAGTCCAAGGTTCTAGTTGAGATATGAATATACTTGGTTAGCATAAGCATTCATATAAGGCTTAAAAACTTAATGACTTTATGACTTGATTAATCATTGGAAAATAGTTTAATTGAGTTCATAAAGATACCTCTAGAAAAAATCGGAAGTGACTTAGAGATATGTAAGTGCCTGAATGAGCATGAATTCATACCAAAAGAGTGAAAGATTACAACTTGATTACATAGGGAAAAGAGAATGAATATCTAGTTTGCAGAATCAGTCCCTTGAGTTGGAATTCTCACTCCCATGAGTGAGGTTCCATTTGTCTTTCTTTGTCTTCAGTTCTGCAGAGTCACTTGCCTTAGTGACTTTACCCACTCGTGCAAGTGAGTGACACTCTACAACTTTCTTTCTTGTTTGTCCAATTTCGTGTTCCGGTTATTTGAAGTTTAACCCGTCCCTGTGGGATCGACCTGACTTATCTTATCTACAGTTTAAGTTGGTAAATTATTTTGGGGGCTTCAACAACCCACCAGTGACACGTCTTTTATGCTGAACACTTGCATTAGTGTTGTGAACGAAGATGTAATCCTTCTCATGAAACTTTGTTAACAAGTGTACGGGGTTGCTATACAATATACTCTTAATTGCCTTTGTGTGTACTAAGAACAAAGGAATAACCCTATTGCAAAATCTGGACGCCAAGCAGGGCTTTACAAGTCCAAGGACGAGGGCGAGCCCTTCACTGTTTGAGGGTGAAATACAGTCCAAGGTCGCCCACAAATCCGAGGACGACATCTAAGTCCAAGGACGCCCATATGTCTGAGGACACCATCTCAGGGCGAGAATGCCCACATGTCCGAGGATGAAGGCTCAGCTCGAGGGCAAAGGCTCACAAATCCAAGGATGACATCTTAGTCCAAGGACGCCCGCATGTCCGAGGATGCCATCTCAGCCCGAGAATGCCCACATATCCGAGGATGAAGGCTCATCAGTCCGAGGAAGAATGCTATCAGTTCGAGGACGAAGGCACCAAAAAGTCAGCAAAACCCGTAGGAACCCCGTGGTCTACGGTACTCCTACGGTCTCCGCGACTTTGGAGCATTTTACAAGTCCGTCTCGACCCCCGTGGCCGACGGCACCGCGGGGCCTCCGCGGCCTGCAGAACTCCTATGGTCTCCATGACCTTGGAGCATTTCACAAGCCCGTCTCGACCCCCGTGGCCGACGGCACCGCGTGGCCTCCGCGGCCTGCGGAACTGCTACAGTCTCCGCGAATTTGGAGCATTTTACAAGCCCGTCTCGACCCCCGTGGCTGACGACACCGTGTAGCCTCCGCGGCCTGCGAAACTCCTACGGTCTCCACGACATTGGAGCATTTTACAAGTCCGTCTCGACCCCCGTGGCCGACGGCACCGCGTGGCCTCCGCGGCCTGCGGAACTCCTACGGTCTCTGTGACCTTGGAGTATTTTAGAAGCCCGTCTCGACCCCCGTGGCCGACGGCACCGTCGAACCCCTGCGGTCTACGGTACTCTTACAGCCTCCATAGGCCTTGGTACATTTGAACCTGTCTTACCTTCCAAAAGGCACATGTTTGAATGCCAGATGCTACTTGACAGCCTTGAGGTACCAGAAAGTCTATCAAATCTAGTGGACCTTCATGGGACGACGGTCCGGTCATGCCACACTTAAGTCAATGCGGTTTAAAGCCTTCCATGACAAAAAGAGTGGCGTTACATTCTATAATTCAGGTACGTGACATCTTCTAAGATCTTTTGAGAACGTACCATGTTTTCTCTTTATCTTGGAAATCTGGCATATATATGAATTGTTCCAACCCAAATACTACATTGACATAGCCCATCTGGCCCCAGATCTGGCTAATGGGTGCTAATTATTCGTTGAAATAGCGTTGATAAGCTTTTGGGTTTGAAACTCGTACGATCTTAATTTGCCTTAGGGTTAGAAACTCACGTGGCAGTGACCAACCTTTGAGTTCCACACTCGTATGGGTTCGGCTTGCTTTCGAGTTGAGCACTCACGCGGCATCGATTAGGCTTGTAGTTATACACTTCTATGATTTTGATCCGCCTTTGAGTCAACAAACCCTTATGGCATCGACCTTCCCTTGAGTTTCATGCTCATTAAGCTTTGATTCGCTTGAAGAGTTATGTACATCCGCAGGTTGGATTGTGCTTAGACTCAACCTAACTTCGTCCAAGAGATTCTTTCGTTTCTTTCCTTATCAGGGGGGACCTCTTAGAATGGACGATGTTACTTTGAGTGGTGGCCTACCTTAGCAATAAACATCGAGGCTCGGGGGGAGGGGCAAGGAAGTCAAAATAACCCTTTACTTCAAATCCTCTCCAACCCTTTCATGTTATCACCACAAAAATGATAAAGTTTCATGTGCTCACGTTCATTCAATCGAATGGTAACACGATGAACATCAGAAAATTCATACTGTCTCGACTAGTCTTCGGGTTAGAAACTCACACGGCGTCGGTCAACCTTTGAGTTCCATACTTATACGGCCCTAACTCGCCCCTGAATTATACACTCAGGCGGTTCTGACCACACCAGGTTAAAAACCCTTACAACATCGACCATCATCTTAATCTCGTACTCTCTTGGCTCTGGCTCTCTCTTGAGAAAGGTACACACACATACTTGATCAGCCTGGGGGTCGTATGGATTCCGTTTGGGCTAAACATGACCAATGGACATTAATCATCTACGTAACTCCAATCAATTGAGTCAACTAAACTCAACATGTGCCTTCCATGATTGAACCAATAGAAGGAACTCGGGGGGGGGGGAGGAGGTCAGGCTATGAGGCAAACTTGCCGCTGAAACGTCATATGAGTTTGAAAATACCATAATTCGGTAGTCTCCCAGGTTCAAGATAAACGATTACAGGACCGAGTCTTACACATCGGTTTGAAAAACTCGAAAGGGCAATCTTGACCTAGCATAAAATAGTACTCATGATCCATAAGGGCCCACTATAATAGCCCTCGGATGAAACTCCTCGATGGTCCAGTGTGCGCGACAAAGGGGGAGCAAAAATTCACCAATGATTCTCCCTGAATAAGCGTAACAACTTTCCTTTCACTTGAGTGGCCTTTGTATTGCTTAATAGTAGCCACATCCCCTATTCTTGACCCTCACCCTCGAAGAAGAAGGCGATTCTTATTAATGTATCCTTCGGGTTGGGTCATATTCCCTAATGGTTCATTGCTGTCTTCCTACGAGTTTAGTGATAACTCTC